GTTTATTGGGTTGCATTATAGGACTGTGTAATCTAGCTTAAATGTTCGGGCGTCCGTTCATTAGTTAGGATTGGTGCTTGTTTATTGCGTAAGGCGATTGGTAGGTTGAATTTTACGTCCGTGACTAGAATCAACTTAATCAATTAGGAACTAATCTATCGAGCTTCTCATGTTAGTTTAATTATAAGGACAAGCGGAGTGTTTGGCGCGTGTCGACACTCACGGCCGGTCTAAAATCTATTAAGAAAATGTTTTTATACAAGTCAATGATACATGATTTGATAAAGAACTAGTTATACTCATCACTAGAATTTATTCATTATTGTTTAAGCTCTCAATTTATTTTGCATATTTAGGCTGTTTATAAATCATCCAACCCCCCCCCCCCCTTTTTATATATATTGTTTTAATGTTAATRAATTTGCACGAGATTACGTCTTGGGTTTACGGTTAATACCGAGTCCTTGAGGAGACGACCCTACTTATCGCTATTACAAGTGTGTTTTAGAGATAATAGGCTTATTTTATAAAATTTTATAATTTGCCGGACTCGACACCCGTCACTATACCACATACATAGGTCCGTCCGTGGTTCCAACTTGTTCCACGGGATATGATGGAATAAGTATGTTCTACTATGTTCTTGTTTGTTTTACATAAAAGTCATACCAAACACGAAAATGAAGATCTCTATTATATTCTGTCATATCCAATGTATCAAACATACAATTATAGACCATTGCAGTAGTACAGGTCTCGTAAGTGAGAATTTGGTTTCAACCAATAAATTATTGAAGCTATTTATCAAGTCTTTGTTTCCAAAACAACAACTATATAGTGTTGTTATCGAGTGCAAGTCCATAGGAGCTGATTGGAGCCTGTTTCGAAGCATTTTCAGGATTGTTTAAGGTCTGTTGTGAGGACGTTTAAAATCTGTTTAGAAACTGATTTTGATCAGTCCTTTCGTCTCCGTCTAGAAGGATTCAGTAAGGGTACATTGTAAGATAGTAGAAGTATTACTTAAGGTGCCAATCGAGTTAGGATAAAACATTTATCATATAAATTTATACTCACATTTCTCGTATTATCAATTTGTTCGATCGCTTTGTTTGAGATCTGTTTTCGAAAACGTTTAGAATCTGTTTAAAGTCATGTCGGGTATACAATCAAACGGCTGAATATAAGACTACTTATTTTATCTATACTATCTTATTAAGCAAATTCATCAAAAGTCTTAAAGTCTTAAAATTCTAAATGATCAAGATACCCTTTTCACTTTTTCACGCCTTCTCTCCTCACATACACTCACCCCTTCACATACATTAACCTCTCACATTCAACGGATTTTTTAAAAAATTATAATTTTAAATTTACATTTTATATCCCTATAATTAGTTAATTAATTACTTTACGTCCTTACTTTTAAATTTTTTATTTTAAACCTTTATCAAATTAACATACATAATCGTATATCAAATAAAACATGTTTAAAAAAATACATTTTTATTTTAACAAGTTACATCATTATAATCGTCTCGTTAATACATTCAGTTTTTTACTTAATTATATTATTATATATTATATATAATGTAAAAAAATATTTTTAATGTTTACGATTTATACTTTTATAGTTATTTATTTATATATATGTTATACATTTTGGGATTAGGCCGTCCAAAATTGCACTGTATAATATGTTCTAAATTAATATGTTATTGGGTTTTTTTGAAATATATATATATACATGTATTAATTCAACCTTAATCTGAGCTTCTGGACAAGAAAGAGGGTAAACAGTTGAAATTTCATTCTAAAACCCATCTTTTTTGTCTTTTCATGATTTATGATCTGTCAAATTTGTAGTTTTCTTTATTGGTTTTGAGTGTTTATCTTAAAACTCAAGTTTTTTGGTTATTTGCTCTTGGTGTAAATCGAATACATTTGTGRAGTCRTTTAAATATGTTGGATTTTAAATATATTGGATTTTAAACTGTCATACAATTTTTTTCATCGATAGTCTGTAATTGGAACCATAACTCTTATTTATTCAAATTGTWTTARYATRTAAAGACCAAGTGTAACATATATCATCGTTAAATCTTGTCTTATAAAACCAGTAAAACTTCAAAATCATTAAAATTCATGGCTCTCGCCGCATTGCGCGGGTATACAACTAGTGATACATAAAAGATATTAACGCTTCTAATGGAGTGTTTGTGATTGCTTATTTGGAACAATTTATGTTTTTCTATAAAAATGTTTATCAACTTATTATAAATTAAAATGTTTTAACTTTTTCAAAAACTTCTTATTACAAGTTTGGTATCAATATAAATTATTTATCTAAATACTAAAAAGTATTTATTACCGATGACACAACAAAATATTAAAAGAAATTGTTTTTACAAAAGATCCCACGCTCCGTACCAAGTTGCACCACCATCGTGGTTGATTAACCGACATGATTCGATCAGTTACATGGCTACTAATTTCATTTCTATCCCCTCCCTCCTGGAATGCTCTTCGATCTGAATCAAACCCATTTCTTCTTGTTTCCACCATTCGTCTGCCTTTCAAACCCTAGATTTTGACAACACCAACAATTCTCTAGTCTCCATCAAGGTACTCTCGCTTCTACTTTCGATTTCTCCTAACCTAATTTCATGATTCTATTTCCAAAATGATTCAGAATCCACACAAGTCATGTTGTTCTTTATGCAATTGTTACTTGTTCAATTATCATATTGATTTATTAAGATATCACTAACGCTTTCAATTCTCACGTAAAAGTTTTAGGGTCTTTATGAATATGAAATCACACTGTGTATGTTCAATCGTTTGGATATAGATGATTTTATCAATTAATCATGTTGTTTTATAATTGGGTCTACAGTGTAAATGGCATCTGTTTCCAGTCAGCCTCAATTTAGATACACACAACCGCCATCGAAGGTTCTTCATCTGAGGAACTTGCCATGGGAGTGCACCGAAGAGGAGCTAATTGAGCTTGGGAAACCATTTGGTAAAGTTGTTAACACAAAGTGTAATGTTGGAGCAAACAGAAATCAGGCATTTATTGAATTTGTAAGTTTTATGGAAGATTGGAATCAATGACCAGTAAATCTTTTTGATTTTTTATTTTCCTTGCCTGTTTTTTAACATGTTGCTTCATGCGTTGTAATGTTTTATAGGCAGAACTAAATCAAGCTATTGCAATGATTTCATATTATGCTTCATCATCAGAACCAGCTCAGGTTCGAGGGAAAACAGTCTACCTACAATATTCAAACAGGCAAGAAATTGTGAATAATAAAACCACTGCAGATGTTGCTGGAAATGTGCTTTTGGTAACTATCGAGGGCAATGATGCACGCCTAGTCACAATTGATGTCTTACATCTGGTAAGTAATCACATTACACACATTGCTTGATCTAAGGAGGTAAATTATAGAAGGATGTTAATGGCATTCGGTTGTTGGGACATGCTTGCTTAGCCTTATTTTTGACGTGAAATCTAAATGGATCAGCAGTCCCATGTCAAGAAAATGTCTTCAATGGAAGCTTATTGCTTGTGGGTATAGAGAAATGTGTGTTTGTCTCCTTTTCTCCTTCCCTTAACACCGGCTCTTCCTTTCTTCATCCTCATCTCTTCCCATTCCTACCATTCTAAGAGTTCAGGATAATTTCTTTTGTTTTTCTTTCCTTTCCCTATCTATCTCTTTTGTTTCTGTATGGTCTGTGCTGCAGTAAATATAAAATCCTTCGATAACTATCTGTTGTATAGTTATATGGCTTCTTCCTGTAAATAATTGTTCAATGTCAATTTTTTAGGTGTTCTCTGCATTTGGGTTTGTGCATAAAATTACAACCTTTGAGAAAACGGCCGGATTCCAGGTGTGTGAAATGGTGTAGGAATTTTTCTATCCAATTTGTTAACGTGACGCTTGTGATATGAACATGTAGTATATGATTGCTTTTCAGGCTCTAGTGCAGTTTTCGGACTCAGAAACTGCATCCTCTGCGAAGGAAGCGCTTGATGGAAGAAGCATTCCCAGGTCATTTGAATGTAACTATTGGCTTGGGGTGTCTTTTTTTTTTCTGGAACCGTGTTATGCACTCACTTACAAGGCCAAGCCCAGCAATATGTTTTAGGCATTCTAGAAGAGGATAAAAGGGGTAATTCAGTGATTTTGGGAATTAGTCTGTTAGCAGCTGGGTATTTGGGTAATATCTAGAATAAATTGGTTACTAAGTATATAAAAGGGAGGAGAAGGGGTAGAAGGTTTATGCAGAAAATTATTCAGTCCCTTTAGGGGAGAGTGTAGCCTCTCGAATTTCTAGTTCCCTTCAATTTTATTGTCAATCAATCATTCAGCGGGATTGTTCTCATCCTATGTCCGCAATTTGTTAATCCATCTTGGCTCATAACAAATTGGTATCAGAGTAGTTCCAAATCCATGTTTATGAGTATGATCTCACAGAGGGTAAAAGTCATGGAGAAGGGGGCAATTGGAGTTCGATACACCATTTTTGAGATTCAGTAACAAATGCATGACCAGATCGTGACGGGGAATGCTAAATTTCATTATACTATTTGTGAAGAGGTACATGCCACTCTATCCAAAGCAGGTTCCCACATCGCTAACCCACCAAATCCAGGCGGTTCTCCACCTTCGAAGATCACAATTGGAGGATTTATCACGACTGACGAAGAGGCTGTCCACGGAAAAATTCCTAATCTTAACCATGACAGCCTCATGGTCATGACAACAATCAGAAATGAAGAAGGAATAAAAAGGAGAAAAGAGGGGATCGAGGGAAGGAATTACCAAGAGAAGAGAAGAGAGAAATTACGATAGGAGAAGGAAGGGTCACCGAATTACCTAGTTGACCTTGGAGAAATTACAATAGGAGAAGGGTCATTTGGGTAATATGTAGAATAGATTGTTTACCAAGTATTATAAAAGGGAGGGGAAGGGGATAGAAGGTTTATGCAGAAAAGTGTTGTCTAGCCTCTCAAATTGCTAGTTTCTATTTAATTTTGCTGTCAATTAATCATTCAGCTTGATTGCTCTCATCCTTTTTGTGCAATTTGTTAATCCATTTTGTTTCATAACAAACCATATTTAGTGTTCGGGCCTAGATGCATTGTGGCTAAGTAGGTGAAAGTTCAGGTGATACATGCATGCACCTTACAACATGATACTTCTGCTTTATCTCCTATTTTCACATGCCTGTTATTGCTCAGTTCTGTTTCTATGCTCTTTCCTCTTTGTTTGAGAAGTGGCATTTGTTATTTTTAGCACCAGAGTTGGAAGGATGGGTGACTGGAAGAAAGGGGCCATTTCGTTTTTGTGTGATGTGATCATGTGAATATGGCAAAAATGGTACTTTTATATCTTCCCCTTCGAATATCAACTACTTTGGTGCTGTCCTCTTTCTGATCCCTTTACTTTTTTTTGAAGTGAAATTGAACTCATACACACTTCTCGCTTGGTGAGACTTGAACCCCTGATCCCTTTACTTCTTTGAACATGTACCCATGTCGGCATCTGATTGTACTTGTATTGCACAAATACCATTGATCATAGTTCCTTGAACATCATGCATTTCATTAAGGATCAACATACCTCCAATTTATCAACATTGTGGCTCATGGACTGTTCCTTTATATATTTACCTGTGGTTATGTCCTTGGATGTTCTGACTGACTTTTGAGTCCACATTTGCCAGGTATTTGATCCCCGAGTTGGGCCCATGCTCCCTTAAAATCACATATTCTGCACATACAGATTTGAGTGTAAAATTCCAGAGTCATCGTAGCAGGTAGAATCAGTTGTCAAGTTTTTCTAGTTTCTAGTTTCTTAGTCTACATTATGGGGGGCTGCATACCTCTTTCTGATTGATTTGCCTTATGGTCTTAATTTTGATTTTGCTACGGTCTTTTGGCTATAATTTTAATATGATATCTATTGGTTCAGGGACTATACTAACCCTCTGCTTCCTGTCGCTTCCTCAGCAATAGATGCTACTGGTCAGGTAAACACATAAATCAGCTATATGGTGGTTATGTGTGTGTCAATTGATCTTCATAAAACGTCTTGGCTGTAGTGTCATTTAATAGAAAACAACATAAAAAACTAAGAGGCACATAAAAGCGAATAGGAGGGATTGAATTAGAAGGGAAAAGCCAAGTGAATTGAATTTACAACAATACACGCGATTCACAAGAACTGCATTTGAGTTAACATACATTACATGCATTTTGCCTCCATAGCTACTGCAGAAACCAACATGAATAAAAACCACAACCAATACTTGAGTTGAGACTTGAGAATTATGACAAGGCTGCAAACACTGTACACTTTAAGGAGATTGGAGACGCATTATAAGTAACGGCAAAAAAACTGATTTCCGTGTGTGTATTGACCTTAAACCTTATTACCATCAAAACTAAATGACTAACACCCTATATAAGAAGATATCAAGTTACCAAAAGTCAACTTCAGAAGGGGAACAGATTAATTTTCTACTCCACAAGATTAAAAACTCAAACTCAACCAAGAGGCTAAAGAAACCAAAAGACAAAGGCCCCAAGCATCGAAATCATCAACTAAAGCAAGCAAATTCCCAAGCATCTCAAGACAATCGAAGACACGTCTAATGTTTGTGATCCCTATCTTCCAGCATCACATCCTGAGTGCTAAAGAAGGATTGCAGTTTTTTTATACTTAATAAGGCAAAGGAGTGCATAGGTACAATGGATAAACATGAAATCGCCAATAACTGGGCACAGGAAAAAATGAATGTTCAAATTAAATGCAGGGACAAACCAAGGCATCAGTGCCATTATACTATCAGTAATCAAAAGAAAGTACCCAAGAAAACCATAACAGCTCCGCTTGTCCGACAGAAGTAATGAAGAAACAAAACGGTAGCACAGCTGAGTAAATCCAAAGTGTTATCAAATAAATGAAACTACTACTCCAGTCTAATAAAATGTAAGATTTCATTATGTTTTTTCTTATTTCTAAAAGATATACCAAGAAACTCGAATAAAACCTTTCAAATTAGGGAAAATAACCCTTGGATGCACCTGTTATTTCCAGAAGTTGAAACCGACCCTTTTGATAATTCTATCAAAAGAACAAATAACTGAACAAGAGTCGAGAACAAGATCAATGCACTAATGTAAAACCAAAGCATGGTGATCTGTGTTGGTCAATTACATCTATTTCGATCATATAGAGAGTAAGACGGACTTTTGCACCGACTCTGGAATGCATCTCTTGCATCAAATTAGAACCCTGAAGTGGGTTTATTGAATTACTATCTTTTCATCCTTGAGTCACTTGTTACGTGTCTTTAGAGATTTCATGGTAACCATTTGTCCTGATTGCAGTTCAGTGTGGGATTAGATGGGAAGAAACTCGAATCTGAGAGTAATGTTCTTCTTGCTTCTATCGAGAATATGCAGTATGCTGTCACCTTGGACGTCTTACACATGGTATCTTTATGGTGTTTTACAGTCTCATATTTAACTATGCATCATTTTAAATATCCTACTTCATGGGTTTTTTGTATTAGGTGTTTTCTGCTTTTGGTCCGGTCTTGAAGATTGCCATGTTTGATAAGAACGGAGGTGTTCAAGCTTTAATTCAGTATCCTGGTGAGTTACATGGACCGATTTCAGTTTTCCATCTTTAGTGTAGCACCGTTGATGGGTCGGGGGTCCGTGCAGATGTTGAGAGGGCGATTGTTGCAAAGGAAGCGTTGGAAGGACATTGCATATATGATGGAGGGTTTTGCGAGCTTCACATTTCGTATTCTCGGCACACGGATCTTAGTATTAAGGTAAGAATGTTGGTTGTTATTGATAGAATTGAGTTGAGTTGAGTTGACTCGTGATTTTGTTGGTGCAGGTGAACAACGATCGGAGTAGAGACTACACAATGTTGAACTGTGTCCAATACAATGTGAATAACAATGGAGGATGGGGTCATCAGCCATACATGATGCCATCTCCTTCTCATCACTTCCTCCATTACCAACAACAATAATAGCCAAATATTTTCTATTTATCATGGATGTATGCTGCCAATTCTTGTCTTTTTCAGTTTTACTTATGAGAACTAATTTTCTCATAATACACCCAAAACCTAAAATTCAAAAAATATCACTCAAATTTTCAAATAAATTCTCTCTCTCTCTCTCTCTCTCTCTCTCTCTCTCTCTTCCTTTGAGTAGCCAGTTCTTTTTCTTTTCTTTTTATTAACCTGGATAACCAATCCGCTATGCGAGCGGACTAATCCCAGGGCGACCACCTGTCTTGCAGATGGTCCGGAGTCACCGCATTTGAACCTCCGTGGCCACAAGGGGATTTTTATTTCTCTTTGGATTTGAACCTGAAGCTTCTGGTACTTTTGACCTTTGGAGCCAAACTCAAACCAATCAGACACCACCCTTGTGGTTATAGTTGGATCTCTTTACCAATTGAGTTACACATTTGAGGGTACTTCGTCTAGATAATTATTAGAGAACATTGATCGATATGATGAGGGTTAAGTATTATTATGGAAATAGATATGTTAACAACATTTCCAATGGCGTTTGTTTTACAGATTTTGGAGGAATGTGATAATATTTTAAATCTAACAAAGGGAATCTTTTATAAACTTGTGAATGCTCTTTATAATAATTGTTTTAATAATATTTTATGAACTTTTATAGATGTAATTTACCTTTTTCTATCTATCAATAAATAAATAAATAAATAACAATAAAATAATATAAATTAAAGGCAAAGTGTGATTGAAGTCGTGTTTCTTTTACTTCCTTTAATGATTAAAATGCGGATGTAGGAAACATATTGGAGATACTCTCTAAGAACTCTTCTATCTTACTCCATACGTTTAAGCTAATGGAAGTGAAATGCATTGAAATTAGTATAGAAAATCATGCTTCTTGCATTAATAAATATAAATCCAAGGAGGAATAAAAATCTTATTGTGGTCATGGAGGTGCAAATGTAGTGACAACAGTCTATTTGCAAAGCAAGTGGTCGTCTTGAGATTAGTCGGCTCGCTTAACGGATTGGATATCCAGGTTAATAATTTTTTATTTTATTTTAATAATATTTCTTTACCTTTTGAGTAAAACAAAATAAACAATGACATGTATATAATAAAGAAAATGCATAATATTTACACACAACTCCTTGCATATTTTAATACTAGTTGTGTACCCACACAATGCGGCGGGAGCTATAAATTTTAACGGTTTTGAAGTTTTATTGGTTTTATTAGAGAAGATTTAACGATGATATAAGTTACACTTGGTCTTTACATATTAATACAATTTGAATAAATAATTATGGTTCCAATTACAGTCTATCGATGAAAAAAAATTATATGACAGTTTAAAATCCAATATATTTAAAATCCAACATATTTAAACGACTCTACAAATGTGTTCGATTTATACCAAGAACAAAAAATCAAGAGATCGAGAGCGAGACTGAAAGTTCTAGAGCAATTGAATAAGAGATGAATGAGAGAACTTTTAATAATTTATGTTGAATTTAATTTTGAATCTCACATTGGGAGATGGGAAGAAGACATAGAGGTATGAGAAGGTGAATGCATGAGTGAAAAGTGTCAAAAATATCTTGAGAACATGAAAAAAAAGGTAATAATATGCATTGGTAACTTGTACTATATGTTATTTTAATTGTAGATTAAAAGATTTTATGATTGAATGCATAAAATAATAGTACTTAATGCATTATAAGTTATTTTTAAGACTTTATACATAAATGTATAATACTTTGTGCATTAAAATTTATTTTTAAGACTTATAAATTTACTTTATAAGGGACTAAGGGGAGTATAGATTTGTGTTCCAACGATAGTTATAAGAGTTGATGCAGGCAGTCCATAGATAGGATAGGTTACCATGTTCCACTTCCACATTATATCACCTAAAATCCATTGGAAAAAAAACAAAAGGCCCAAATCATACCAACAAAGAATGCAATAAATTTCTTTAGCCTAACAAACCTACTTTTGAAACCAAAACCCCATTTGTCCTCATCATCAAACAAACATCCACCACGTCCTTTGCAAAACAAAGTCTGCTTAAACTTACATTACTAGAATATATATATATATATATATATGTATATATATATATATATATATATATGCCTTCATCTTTTCTTCATTGGGATACACTTGTTGTGCTCTCTTGCAGATGATGCCATCTTCGTCTTTGATTGTCCCTCGCCTTCCCCTTTTCTCCTTTTCGATGTCTGTTCACCTTCTTTCTTCTTCCTCTCCTTTCCAGCTTTTATATCCACCTGTGTTCTTGAAGCTGAAGCACCACCTGCACTGCTTCCGTTCTTCGAATTCTCAGCACCGCATGACTGAGGAGACTGGCCTGCCTTTGGAAAATTGATCGGTGGTGCCATCTCCACAGCATGAAAAGGCTTCTGACAATTGGGACAAAGAAGGGTACGGTTCACGTACACCTTCATATATTCGTAATGCATCTTGCATATCCGGCAAACAGTCCAAAATGTATCACACGCATAGTCATGAACCACCGTAGGCGGAGGCGGTGGTGGTGGCGGATGAGGAGGAGGAGCTCGATGTGGAACTGACCCTGGCCCTGACCGAGTAGTGGTGCCACTATTCCAGTTATTCGGCTTTGAAGTTGCTCTGTAAACTCCATTGACACCAGGGGATGGGGATGTTGACGGACGCCCACTTTGAGGTGAAAGCTTAACCTTTTGATGAAATCCTCTCGAGTTCCTCCTCTGGTCATACACCGATCTTTTAGCCTTATCAGACAACAAACTCCATGCCTCCGAAAGTATCTTAAACGCACCATCTGCACCCACTGATTTGTTCTTGTCGGGATGGAGCATGAGTGCCAACTTCCTGTACTGTTTCCTGATTGTTTCTTCATCATCAGAGGGTTTTACGTCAAGTACCCCATACCAATCTGACTCCCCATTTACCTTGTTCTCCGAGGAGATATACACGTTAAGAGCGATCAATATCTGAGATATACCATCGAGCTCAGGATATAGGGATTGAGCTTTCAAAGTAAATTTCTTTGCACCAGCAAAATCTTTTTCTGCCAATTTCTTCTCTGCAATGGTTTTTGCCCTGATAGCCTCATCTCTATTGCATTCCATGACCTTTAATGCGGATTCTCAATGAAAATAGTGAAAAAGAGCAAGCACAAAAGCGGGAGGCCTTTATTTTTGTATAGCATTCAAGAAACATACCTGAGGTAGACCAAAAATCAGGAAAAAAAACTACCAAACCAAATGAACCCGGTAATATCCCACCTGAGGTGGGGTCTGGAAGGGTAAGATCTACACAGATCTAACATCTACACCAAAGAGTAGAGCGGCTGTTTCCATGAACACTCTTAGTTTGTGAAAAGTGTAACAACAAGAGAGAAACAGACATGATAAAAATTTGAAAAGCTAGTTATGAAAAAATAATAACACAGAGAATCAGGAAACAACCTTTTTACATATAAATGAGTGAAGAAAAAGTGAAAACCATTTACAAAGCATCACAGTTGTTCCAACTATCATGAAATAGGGAACTGTCATCCAGATTCCCAAAACCTGATCCTTATCATTCACAAGTGCATATGATGTTGAAGTACCATAATATTCAATTAACAAGAAATGTAACCATTTGTTCCAAGAAACACAAGAAGAAATATTTTTGAAGAATTGGGACTTCGGTGGCCGTAATTACAAGCAAAGATTAAGAAATTTGTTAGTCGGAAAATGATGGTGAGAATGGTGGAAGGGTTTTGGTTCAAGCTTATCTTCTTCAGGGGCATGTTTCTTTCTCTAGGATACATTGAAACGAAAGAGCGCATATAACAGGGTTATCATCTCAAATGGCCACACATCATGAAAAAAACATTTACTTTATAGCCACCGACTAAATTTTCCCACAAAATAGCCAAGAAACCGCAAGGCGCTTTTCCTTGCAGTTTCTGACAAAATCCGACACATCGAGTGAAAAAGAGGACCCGCTGCAAAAACCATTAAAAACCTACAAGTTGCAGTATTGTAGTCCCTTGGTTCTACGCACAAAAAACAAGCCAAAGTTGCAAGCTGCGAAACCGCAAGAAAAAATGCATTGCAGATTCTTGGCTATTTTGTGGGAAAATTTAGTCGGTGTCTATAAAGTAACTTTTACTGTTGTGGCTATTTATGATGATGACCACATATAAGAAGATACAAAAAGCAAGATGCAAAATCTGCCATGAGTAAGCTCCTCAAACATCCAATACTTTCACTACTCCTAAGCCCTAAAGACCATAATCATCAAGAAGAAGGGTGTCCGAATTACTAGTGGAATTATAGAAAGCTAAAGCATTGGCTTACAAGTTGGACAAGATGAGAGATGACTAGACCGGACCAGGTTCAGTTGTAGATTTTTCTTTGAAATAGTTTTTGTTCAGTTTGCTTCAGAACCAGAACCAGAACCAGAACCGGTTTTATTTTTTCAAATTAGAAACGATGCATGTCTTGAGAATCACATCTAGTAACTTCAAAAATCGTGAATCTCATCAAGTTTAATCGCATACTCATCATTTTAAGATTAGAATCCCAAACCTAAATACACTGATAATGATGATCCGAGGAAGATGAATGCAATTAACGACTATGAACTATTGACCATATTGTTCAAATATTCGCGATTAACAACAGTTCCATGAACTCGCATCAAACTAAACCAACACAATCGATTATTACCTACCAAACTCAAAGCTGGCGGATTTTGCAAAGCCGCTAATAAACATAAGAAGCGATCACAAAGAAATTAATTTAAAAAAAGAACGATACAAATTACAGAAACTTGCAATGGCTGTAAACGAATCGACGTAATGATGATGATATACAAATGAAATCGAGACTTTAGATTGAAGCCGAAACCCTAGAGTAACGAATGATAACATGTTTAGATTCATGAAAAAGAGAGAAGAAAACAGTAATTACCAGTTGAAACGAGAGTGATAGATGAAGAAGAAATTCAAATCGTTATACGATTTCATCTTTTTCCAATCAATTTTTTTGATCAAAACCCCTGAAATCACGAGGCTAACCAACAATAAAAAGCGAAACGCAATTGTTGGAATCTGTGATTTAATTTTGCAAATTCCATTTTAATGATAATCTACACGGTATTATAATTCATTAATCATTTGACAAAAACTCATAAAAATTATTTTTTATATATAAAATATCGTTTATTAATATATATTACTTATAATTCAAAATTACAAGTAAATAATACATAAATATAAATAATTAAAAATTCATGCTTGAATTCGTATAACTAATTACATATAAACATAATCAAATACTTGATAAACATTTCACTGTAAACATAAAAAATATAAAATATTATTATGATAATCACTGTGTTCTAATAGAATACATAATTATTATATTTAAAAAAAATATATTATTAAATTCGTTATTAAACATAAATTAAATTATAATAAAAAAATTGAATTAAAGAAATTACACAACAAAATAAAAAAATTTAAATAGTTAATTTGACACTAATATCGATACATTTTTTTTAAGTTTTAAGATATCTTCAAATTTATATTTTATTCAAAAATAAAAACATTATTGTTTTTCTTAAAATCACATAAAACCGTATTATAACATCGACAGATAATAGAATTAAACAAAACATTAAAATCGAGATGTATCTCGCTAAATTGTACAAATACCCTTCTAGCATTTTATAATTTCTTTTATGCTTTTAAATTCTTGACTTAACGTAAAAATGTTCAATAAGCCAAGTACGTAATCTAGTTTCTATTCTTGAAAATATATTTCAAAAAGTTCCATTTAAACCAAAATATGATTAATTTTTGTTCAAAACCTTTTCGTTCTATATAATTAGTTAATTACGTGATCAGAGTCAGTTATAAATTCAGCAATTGAGGTAACCAAGGTTCCTAAAAGTATAAAAAGAATCGAAAACCGAATTAACCCATTTAAAACAAAATTGCTTTGAATTATTCGGTTAACTGAATAGGGTAAGTTTCAGTTTTACCATATAAGTCCCCCTAATTAGGGACAGGTTTAAATAAAAATGTTAAATATATGATTATATGGTATGAACTTTTACATTTAAATTTTCTGCCAGCGTCACACAAATACGAGTCCAATCCAAACTTACCAGTAAAGCAGCCATTTGGTGCAAAGGCTAATAAAACCACAAACCACATATTTTAAATATCACATTAAATATGTCTCACATTTCCCATATAATAATAAATAATAATAATAATAATAATAATAATAATAATAAAAGCCATAACTTAATCTATATTCACAACACCACCTCCAACTTCTCTCACACACACACTACACTTCTAGAAGCTTCTATTTCAAAGGCAGCTCACCTGCTTCCGCACAAACGATGGTAACGCAAATGCAGCTTTATGCATCTGTTCACAAAACCATAAATACTTTATAACAACTCAAACAACGTTAAGTTTTCATCGTACGTTAATTTTATAAATTACCTGAGAGTTGTAGAATTTTAACTCCGCTGCTCCCTCTACCTTCTCAATGGGATTTACAGGAGTTTTAAAATCTACAGCTGAACCCCCCTCCGTTGAGCACAGTATAAACCCAATCACACCACTGCATACATATATATATATGATATAACCAGTTAATAACAATATTAAAATATAAAGCATTGATCGGATAACGATTGCAAACGCACCTAGGATACGTGGGTACGCTTGCCCATGCATAGTGAACGGACCCCTTGAATATATCACGGCACGCGCAGACCATATCCTGAATGAGATGAGTGTGCAACCACATACTTTCTGCCATGTTACAAAGAACACCACCAGGTCGCAATGCCCTTGCCACCATCTCAAAGAATGGTTTTTCCACAAGCTCTTGAGCAGGACCTACAACAACGAATACGTCACGACATGTAGAAAATTTGCTCCTCTTTTTATTGAGAAAATGATCACACGACGTACCCACTGGATCGGATGAATCAACAATAATGGCATCGTACTTTCCTTTGGGCACATGCCGTAAAAACTCAACAGCTGTCAAGATTGAATAAACAAAGATTTAGGAAGACCCAAAGACGCTATGTTAATGTGGAAAAAGATGGCATGTGTGGGTGGACATTAGTCTAACCAACTGTTTTACAAGAGCTCATCAAGTGATGCCACGTGGACATTAGTTCAACTACTCCTTACAAACTTGAATGACCTTCATTTGACCTGCCGCTGGTGTAAAACAGTCTGCCCCCATAAAAACTTGATTTCTAGAGGGTTAGATTTTTAAAGTCAGTTTTGTAGAAGGTCGATAAGCTAAAAGTAGCTCCAATATCAGTTAGCAAATTGAAATCAGTAAGTCAGGTTCTTGTATGGGGAAACTATGATCACAATAGTAACGAAAGATCATATGCTGTAGACTGGTATTACCATCACCAATATGGAGATGAACATGTGGATCCTCGAAGCCAGCAGCTAACTCCGGAAAAAACTTCTTACTAACCTACAAACAAGGAATTAGACAACGATCATTCATAAGATAGAGCAAGAATGCAAAGTTGATAACCAGAGACGGGATATGTTTTCAGCACATACATCTATAACCATCTTATCTATCTCACATATATCAATCAGCTCTACGGAGGTGTGACGAGAAACTTCCCTAAGAACTCCACCATCACCGCCACCCACCACCAGAACCTGCATTTATCCCATAAGTTGGCTTTTAACATTCATTACATATACAAGACAGAGATAATCATACAAGAGTAGCAGAAAAGGAAACAGAGAGATCCTTACCAGTCTACTGCATTTCACAATTAAGTAGTGGCAGAAACTTAAATGGTAATGAGATATAAGTAGTTATATACGTTAAATGTAACTGGTTAGAGTTCTACTTGAAGCAGTGGAAAAAATAACAAGTTGATGGTGCGAAATCTGGCACATAACTAATGGAGTTTTTAAATTCTAATTTAGTTTTGGTAATATAATCTGGCACTTCTAGAAGTTGAAGATCATAAAAAGGTAAGAAAGTAGTTCAAGTTCCTACTTTTTTTCCACTGGAACAAGTTACTGAACTCAAAAGCACAATGCTTAGACCCGGTCACCATTCACTCAATTCTAGTCAAATAGTAAATATGGATTACATTATTTGATTAAGGCAATAAATTTTTAACACCAACTGAACTGAAACCAACATTTGATCATTATAAAAGGTAAAAGAACTTTGCTTTCTTAATGATCCATTCTATATAACCAATACAAGAATTTATTTAAACTAACTGAACTGAAACCAACTCTTGATTCATTTTAAATGATAAAAGAACTTCGTTTCTTAACGATTCATACTATTTAACCTAAAAAGGCTTCTCAAACATTTCCACCTACCATGCCCAAGTCTCCTTGAGACTTCTTCTAGCAAAACTAAAATATCAATCTCCTAGAAACTTCGAGCCCAAATGGAAATCCCATTTAGCCCTATGGCCCTTCTCTACTTTCATCTACGTTAGCTGCAATCTTCACTTAAGAAGTTAGATTCAACCAAAAAAATCATGCATATAGTTTACTTTACTACTGAATCACTCTGAGGTATATTTCTTACCAAGGTTAGTCCTCGTGACCAAGCAAATCCATACCATGATCCCATGATAGTATATGATACTATAATGGCATTTAACTTTAACCCATTCAAACAGTGATAGTTAGAGTGCATAACCCTTGCAACATTATCATCATGTTAACCTGAATCTGTAAGAAAGTAAGTATATTTATTAAAGCATCTTCCTTTAACTACCACTGGTCCAACCACTGTAAGACAATCTGAAAAGTAAAACTTGTTTTCCATCTTTGCTTATTCCTTGGTATTTTTGTAAATATGCTCTATAATTTTTTTTGACGAATTACAATAACTGAAAGCTCTAACCCTTTCCGGGTCGACTGTCAATGGGTTTAGTTTCCCTTTAGCTGCTTTGTTAAATCCATAGTACCAAAATAAGCTATATCCAGTCCAGGTGTGATACATTAACTATATGATGGTCTTCAAGTGCAGTATAACCTATGCCTTCTACTGAGCATAGGAAAGTTGTACTGGAATTAAATGCAACAAAGGCAAAGTCACATGTCAAACGCACGTACAAGACCACAAGGAATTTCCTGAAACTGGAATTACCTGGAATATGATAAAGAAATCAATTCAAAACAATATGCAAGTCTTCAACCTCTTAAATGGTTGATGCCATGTGCTATTTAACTGGTATGTATTCCCGAGTCCTTTACACCCAAAGGCACATATCATGGTAATTAATGAAAGAAATATATTTAACAATGTATGCAAAAAAATATTAGTTTACTTCAAGAAACCCAGAAAAACCTGTAGGGGTTACAAATTTGTGGTAGAAGAACATTAAAGTCAAGAGGTTGTGAAGTGCAATGTGTTATGCACTCCAAAAAGCATCCAAGAATATTAGTAAACAGAGCGTTGAATTATTAGTTTGAAGTCATTACATTTTTGGGTGATTTGATGGAACAAAGGGGAAGATGTGTTATCATCTCCTGATAGGCAAACTCATCTCTTTCAGACAACTGAAGGATGCCATCAAGAACAAGCACCTTTCCATATGTTGCAGACTGCAAATCAAACAAACAGCTTCAGCATATATGTTGTGATGTCTAAGGATGAACTAATTCTTAAAATAAACTCAAGACTAGGGACTGATAACAAAATTTTATACCTCAAAAACTAGGACCTCCTGGTACTCTGATTTTTCTTTGAACAAAATATTTTCTACTTCTAATGAATGTGCTTCTCCTGCAAGCAGAAAATTTATTAAATATGGGATATTCTACTTCCTGTTTCTTCCCAAGGAAAAATACTGAAATATGGATAGTTATTCCGGTAAAAAGTAATGAACTACTCCATATTTTTCATTCAATAAGATCATAGTACTGTTAACAAGGCCTATATACACACAAGATTTTGCCAGAAAACTGAACACCAGCATCTTGCTCTATCAGCTGTTGCTACTGAGCCATGCTCCACAGTCCACAATTACAAAATTATGAGTTACGACCAAGTTTTGCTTCCTAGGAAGTACTTATTTATTTTAAAACTTTACTGAATTCCGTTTTGGTAAAGTAATTATTGAGCAGTTAAGAGTATTCTTTGGTCAGCATCTATTATCCAACCAGCAGTAGTTTGTATCCTGTAGATTTTGCTAGGCTGAAATATTTAACACAAGAATAATAGAAAATGACATTGTTCCATGAAATGAACACTTAAATCATAAAAAATAACTCAAGGTCCAATTATGACACTCTAAGACTCGTTGAAGGAGAGCCTAAGTTTGAATACCTGGCCACATGGGGTTGTTGAAGTACATTCTTTTGCCCACTTTATCTGCAATTAGTAACAAAATGATCACAATATGTCAACAATTACTAATTAAACCACTTGTTGAGAAAGGTATTAACAGACAACGGCAAAATCTCTAGCCTTCTTCAACTAAAGTGAAGGTATTAACATAACATATGATAACATATATATGCGAAAGTGAAAAAGATAATGACCAGATGTAGTCTGATGCACAGAGAACCATCCTGAAACCACTGTTTCATGACAGTTGGCTTCAAGCTCAGCATCAGGGGAGAAAGCTCGGGCTTTCAAGCAACAAGGAGGAATAGTAGTCTGATTAGCCTCATTATTCTCATTATGATCCATGGTATCGTGGGATTCTTTATCTCTTCCAACGTTTCCTTCCATATATTCTATTTCTCTTTCGCAGCTCAGCCTCTGACCACCAGTATGGAGTTGTTACACTAATAAACAAATTAAAATTACTCACATAAAAATAGTATAGAGAAGGAGTATAAATCATAGTTAAGAAGGGCAAGAACAACTATAGTAATATGAGAAATCATAGACCGAGACATAAGAGGTTGCTTTGAAAGGAAATTACTTACACAACAGATTCTATTCTACGATCACTAAGTAGGGTGTCAAAAAATTTAGAAACTAAAGCATATATAGTACTCCTTCCGTTCCACAGTCAGAGAACACTTCCAACGTAACGTTTACAAGGAGTAGTAATGCAAGTATTTTTTGCTGATTTACTTGACTAAGTTTGTCATTACAATGTTAGTTTACAAAAGGGAAAGATTAATTGATCAAGCAACCAAATGTATCTAATCCAAAATCATAGGCTTGCATGATACTTGATCAGGCACCATTGAAGGATGGGACATAAAAAGTAAACCTTTTTAGAGCAGCTAAAAAATTGAAGCTGAAGATCAAGATTCTGTATGAGACATGTATATCAGTATATGTGTGTGTGCCACACCACTATGTGAGATATATTTTTTAAGTCAAAAAAAGGTATATACACATAAACAAATACCAAATTTTCCTCGACAACGACAACCACCAGACGACAACTAAGATAACTTGACTCAAATTAACTAGTACTTTTTTTGTAATCGACTCTATAGCTTCTTGGTTTTGACAGAACTTTATTGGGAGCAAGAATCAGAAACACAGCTAGCGATCAAAAGAATAGAGCGGGAACACCAATCATATTAACTGAAATTCTAATCACTACAGTAAACAATATATTAAACACAGAAAATACCTCATGAATCGACCCGTAATCATAATCATAAGCATACACATTCGATGACAAGAAATAATAGGTCAACAAATGCATAAAATTCAGTCGATTCAACAGAAAACAACTATGAATCATGATTCATAACAGCTACAAACGTAATTTAGGAGTCGAGTACGTGAACAAGTATCTACTATTATGACCTACTCTAATGGCGGGAAAGAGAATCGATGAATGGAACTCACCCACACACGTACAAACACACGGTCAATCGGTGTCTCGCAGAATTTGGGTGTTTTCTTTTGTCGATCAAAATGGCGTGACAGGAGCATATACACAATATGTATTTATAAATATATACCATATATATACACACGCGCGAACACAGGGATTGGATATCTTTTGAAATGACGAATTTGCCCTTCTGATTGCCTCAAAGCCTTTTACGCGTGTAAACACGTTTCACGTGGGTACTAAACTGAAACGCTTTTTAACTTTTTTTTTTTTTTACCTCCACGTGGTTCAAATTTAAATCTATAAAAATTGGTAAAAAAAAAAAAACGAGAATCAAAAAGAAAATTAAATAATATTTTTAATTAATTATGGAATAAATAATTGTTTAAAAATATTTCCACATGATGATTGAATATTTCTTAAATCCATTAAAAGGAAAGTTGTATGGATGGCATGTCAAGATTTCTTTAATTCCTTTTTACATAAACTTTTACTAAGCTAATGATTTTTATGGAATTCTTTTATTAGAATAAAGTCTCTCTCTCTCTATATGGTATATGGTATATATAATATATATTTATATATATAGTATATTTCAAATGTAACCATGTTCATTTGTATAACCAATATAATCTAATTAATTAAGATATTTATAAATATTTATGATTTATGAATAGAGTTTATTAATTATGATCAATACTTTATATTAGGAAACAATCAAAACTTTTATGAAATCACATATTCATCAAATTAAATGGACAGTTGAGATTGAGTTGTATTGGTTATACAAATGTAAAAAGTTGCATAATAACTCACCTCTCTCTCTATATATATATATATAGAGAGAGAGAGAAAGTTTGTTTCAAATGCAACCTATCACATTTGTACAACCAATGCAACTCAATAAATTAAAATAGTTATGAAAATGATAAGAGCTTATTTATTATGATTTAAATATTTATGAAAGATTAATAAGGTTCATTAATTATGATCAATACTTTATATTAGGAAACAATCAAAACTTCTATAAAATTGCATATTCATCAAATTAAATGGACGGTTGAAATTGAGTTGTATTGGTTGTATAAATGTAAAGGGTTGTATAATAACTCACCTATATATATATATGGTTTATTTCAAATACAGCCTATCGTATTTATACAACCAATGCAAACCAATAAATTGAAATATTTATGGAAATGATTAGAGTTCATTTATTATGATTTAAATATTTATAGAAGATGAATACGGTTCATTAATTATGATTAATACTTTATATTAGGAAATAATCAAAACCTCTATAAAATCACATATTAATCAAATGAAATTGACGGTTGAGATTGAGTTGTATTTGTTGCACAAATGACAAGAAT